GGTTCTTCTACCAGGCCTAGTTTGAAATCTTTTATTTATTTTTTTATTTTATTTTATTTTATTTTTTTGAGACAGCTTTCCCTGTATAACCTTGGCTGTCCTGAAACTCACTTATGAATGGGCTGGTCTGAAGCTCAAGTGACCCACCTGCCTCTGCCTTCAGAGTGCTGACATTAAAGGCATGCACCACCTCCACCTGGCTTGAATTTTTTTTTAAGTAAACAGAATAAGTGGGTTTCCTCCATCCTAGTATCTTGGGGCTGTAGTAATGACTAAAGGTGCATCCAAAGCATGGAGAAGGAGAAGCCTGCAGAAAAGCTGTTTGTGCCAGAACAAACTTACCAAGTGAGCTGGGCCAGCTGGTCTGTGAGCTGGGTGGTGCCACTGTTTCTGCCTCCCTTGAGCTGGGGTTGCAAGCATACAACGCCACACACAGCCTTTCTTTCTTTTCTTATTTTCTTTCTAAGTGTGGTATGGAGAGATCCAACTCAGTTTTCTGACTTTAAGGCAAGCACTTTAGCAGTTGAGTTATATCCCAGTGCTTACTTCAGTGTTTTAAGGCAGTGGACGCTTGTAAAGCGCTCATATCCCTTCCCATGCAGGTCTGTAGAACATGAGGCTGGGTCCATCCATGACTGAGGTTGAGACTCTTTTCATATGAACTGTTTTAATTTTTCCTTTAACATATTTGTTAAGCATTTATAATTCTTAACTACTTTTTTTTTTTTACTACTTTTTAGGATATTTATACGAATGCCAGTCTTTTTTTTTTTTTTCAAGATAGGGTCTTATTATCTTCCTGGTTAGCCTTGAAATCAGAGGCCTGTACCACCACGCCAGGTCTTGGCTGCCAGACTTCTTATGTCATAATGAATTTAAAAATTAAAAGCAAAATGTGGATGTAGCTCCGTGGTAGAGTGTTTTCCTACTAGCACAAAGTTCGTGTTCCACCCCCAAAACTAGGGAACACACACACACACACACACACACACACACACACGCCATTGTATGTAAGACTGCAAGCCAGTTTTCTGTCTCAGAGTATTTTTTGTTGTTGTTGTTGTTGGTTTTGTTTTTGTCTCTTTTTTTTTAGATGAGTTTCTCTAGCTGTCTGGTTTTTCTGAATTTCTGGCTCTCCTGGAACTTGCTCTGTAGACCATGATGGCCTCAAATTCACAGAGGTCTGCCTGCCTCTGCCTCCTGAGTGCTGGAGGTCTTAAACTGCTGCCAAAGGGTTCCTGTCCGAGATACTCACAGGATTTCCTTTTCGACCTTCTCCAGTCACTGATTCAAGCTGGGCTTTTGATGTCCTTTCTTCATTATCCTAAATAGGAGAGTAAGGGCAGCAGCCTAGCACTCCTCCGCTTCCGCTTGTCTTCATTGCACACATCACTATACACCTTCCATGCAAAGAAAACCATGAAGATAAACTCCAAACAAGGGAAATGGAAAACAAGTTGTGTCATGTTTATTCTAGCTGGAAGGCTCAGGGATTATACATCACCTTCCTAAACTACTCTAGATAAAGGGACCGTATTTTATGTTAACTAAGTCTTGGAAGTAAACCTCTGAGGTCTGTGGGGTCCAGGCTTGCTCCCCGTGGCTGCCGGAACAGCACAAGGCAGAGTCCCCATAGTGGGGTCTCTAGTAGGTGTGCTCACTTTATTTAGCTTAATACTTTTCCTATCCTCTCAAAAGCCACAATATAAACCTTTGGTAGACTTAAAACCTAATCTCAAATTCCATCCTCTGTCCATGGTATTGATCACTTCCAGAGGAAGGTTTCAACAAGACTGCTCCCCTTGGGATCCACATGCTGCCCTCACAAAAGAGTTGAAAATTTGGATCACCTTTCACTGTCCAAGAACTTTCTTTTTAGCTTAATAAATCTCTGTTTTTTGAAATAAAGTGAAAGACCCTCAGAGAGGACCTTTTCCTCCAATGAAGTCCCCAGAACCAGGACACTCCTAGTCCAGACCACTGGATGCAATTAGCAAGAAGTTTATTAAGTAAACACAGGTACCTGTGGGCGGCAAAGTCTTTTGGAGGACTTGCGCGCCTGCAGACTTGGGGAAGGTCTTTTTATAGGAAAGAGGGCAGCAGAAGCAGATTACAGAAGCAAATGCGTGGTTAGTGGTCAGTTGGAATGGGGCAAGGGGCATAGGTGGTTTTTCCTTTCCCAGCACAGATGTATGGGAACAGATATCCTGTTCCTCTTTTGGTTTTTCCTTTCCCAGCACAGATGTATGGCAACAGATTTCCTGTTAATTGATGTCCTGTCCTATTCTATAGATATAAATATCCTGCTTTACAGCCAGGGACCCTGACCTCACTCTGCACTTACATTTGTTCGTCGAAAGCCTTGTGAAATGACGTTACAGCAGCTAAGCTGGGATCTTTCATAGGGGGAATTGTTTCTTTTGTGAATTGCTGATATTTTAAGTTGGGCACATGTGCTGACTATAGGCATCCTGTTTCCCTAAGCATACCGGATGTTCTCATGAGAGCCGGCTAGCAGCAGGTTCTGAGAGGGTCCTGAGGGTCTCAAGCGAACAGGATGTTCTCATGGGAGCAGGCCAGCTGCGGGTTATGGGGTGGGTGTTCAGAGGGTCTTTCAAAAGTAAAACTCCATGGTTTAGCTGTGCTTCCATGTTTTGCACTCAGGTGATGATGTAACCTGTCCTTGCTCTTTCCATTGCTGTCAGCATCACAGCTGTTTTCTGGGGAGGGAAGGCAGTGCTGGGGAGGGAAGCCAGGGTTTTCTGCTGAGTCATACCCAGAGCCAGGAGTGAGCCCAGATGCTCTGCTGCAGGCTGTGAAGCTGCCCTGCTTATCCCTAGCTGACTGCTGCTGACCCTGGTCATTTCTGCACTGAATGCCCTCAAGTGGTGCAGATGTCCCTGTCTGGCCTGTGTCCTAATGGACAGGGCACACGAATCTTCCTCACGCAGTGCTGGTATCTCCTCAGTCTATACTGAACGAGGCTCCCTTGCAAACACTAAATCAACTAGGTCCACAGTCTCTTGGGCAAACAAGACCTTAAAGCAATTAGGGAACAGAGTGCTTCTCATTGTGCCTAACTCTCAGCTATTGGACAGGGTTTCTCTTGGGAGCCCAGAATGAATTTTCAAGACATCTTGTTGGCCCGAGGCTTCCGCAGCGTGCCAGCTGCACACCTGGGGCCCTGTTTAGCCAGGACCACCCACGTGTCCCCACTACTACACTTGTCACTTTGCTTCCCTGCTGACATGCATCCTCATGGCCTCACGTGCATCTGGAATGGGATATGTGCACTACATGACTGTGTTCTGGGTCCTGTATAGCCAGGTCTCTGCTGGTGTTAGCCATGTGTGCCTTTAAGGGCCCTCTTCTCAAGGGCTGTCTCAGGAGCTTCCCTGCTCCTCTCCCCTCCCTGCTTAGGATATGAACCTTTTCTGAGGTGTTGGCTCTGCTCTGCTCATCGTTACGAGAAGCCTTACTGTGCTGACATCCCAGCATCTTCTCCACTGGACCTTGTTACATTCTGAGAGTGTCCCATTCTGCTGGCAAGAAAACTTTCTCAAAGTAAGATCCTGCCTTAGCCTTAGCTCCACCTTGCTCAGATCTTTCTTGTCAGGCTAAGGTGGTCCTGAAGAAAATGGGGCCAGTACAGCTCTCACTGGCCTTCAGGTCAGGGTTGGAGACAGAGACAGAGAACACCTTCCACAGGGACACACTGTAGAGACAAATGTCGCTCTCACTTGTTGTAGTGAAGAAACACCTCGGCTCACCCATGCGGAAAGCATGATGTTAAAGCTCTGTGCAGCCCCAAACTCAGGCAGCTGTGCCCTGTCTAGTGCCCGCCATCTGGATGGCACCATAGCTGGGGCTGAAAAGGACACTAGCACTGCCTGAGGCTGGTGGTGAGGAGCAGGGGCAGAAGGGTAGTGTGGTCCCCTAGGGTTTATTTTACAGCACCAGGCACAGCATGGACAGGGAAAAGTTTAGCTATAGGACCTGTTGCTGTGGCAGGACATGGGAGCCCAGTGTGTGTGCGTCCCAACACCAGGCTGCTCTGAGCAGTTATGTCAGGACCAGGCTGGCCTTGAAAGAGGGCAGAGATGGCTGCAGTCCTGAGGGAACAGTGCAGGTGACAGGCCTTCCATGGGGGTGAAAACTGTTGAGCATCCACATTCCACTGTGCTCTACAAATTATTAACCAGAATCACAAGGTGAATGGGGGTGGCCTCACATTCACTTTCCAGCTCTGTGACCCTGGGCTTTACGATTAACAAATACCAAGTATCCAACCGGTGATGTGCCAACTCAGGTCTGCTCACCAGTTGTTGGGCAGACCCAGGCTACCTGTGCTGCATGCGACCAGAGGCTGATGCCCTTCCAGACACTCTTGGTTGTGTAGTAGCAGGTAAGACTGGTAGCACTGTGGGGAGGGTCTCAGCGTGGGACTGGAGTCCTAGAACTGCCTGAGGGCTCAAGGATAAGGGTTTGCAGCAATGGGTGGTTTTGTTTGTTTATTTCTGCCAGCTCTGTAATCTAAAGTTTTACAATCCTTGGGAAGGAGATCTGCAGGGAAACACCTGGAAACACATGCCTGTAATTTGCAGTCCGCAGACAGTGACCTAATGGGTGCATGGGGTCCATCTGCAGACAGTGACCTAATGGGTGCATGGGCTCCATCTGCAGACAGTGACCTAATGGGTGCATGGCTCCATCTGCAGCACTGGGCTTGTTTATGTACCCGGAGCTGCAGATAGTGACCTAATGGGTGCATGGGCTCCATCTGCAGCACTGGGCTTGTTTATGTACCCGGAGCTGCAGAAGGCTTCTGTAGGGTGAGAAGGATGGAGTCAGGTGTTGCTGGACAGACCTTCTCCCAGTGTTTGTGTCTGCTTCCTGTCTGGTGACAGCAGAAAGATACACCCTTGAAGAGGGCCTAAATGGGTCTTAGGATGTTGGGAGGCAGAAGGTCAGAGGACTTATATGGTTTCTCTCCTCTTTAGGCCTCAGGCAAAGTGCCAGGCAGGTATTCCTGTCTGTCCTGGATGCCGAGATTTGAGACCCAGAAATCTCCCATGGCTCCTTCTCATATTCGCCAGTATCAGGACAGCGACCAGAAAAGTGTCTTGGATTTGTTCATAAGAGGAATGGAAGAGCACATCCCTGCCACCTTCCGCCACCTGCTGACTCTGCCAAGGACCTTCTTTCTCTTACTTGGGGTGCCACTTGCCATGGTCCTGGTGTCTGGCTCCTGGCTGCTAGCTGCTATGAGCATCTTCTTTGTGCTCCTTCTCATGAAGCTTCTTGCAAGACAGCCGTGGAAGAAGTATGTGGCCAAGTGTTTGCACACAGACATGGCTGACATCACTAAGTCCTACATGAATGCACGTGGTTCCTGTTTCTGGGTGGCTGAGTCTGGGGGAGAGGTGGTGGGCATCGTGGGCTGTCTACCAGTCAAGGATCCCCCATTAGGGAGGAAGCAGCTGGAGCTCTTTCACCTGTCTGTGTCTTCACAGCATCGCGGACTGGGGATAGCGAAAGCTCTGACCAGAACCATTCTCCAGTTTGCACGGGATCAGGGCTACAGTGATGTCGTCCTTGACACCAGCATGTTGCAGAAAGGTGCTCAGGCCCTTTACATGAGCATGGGCTTCCAGAAGACAGGACAGTACTTTATGAGTGCGTTCTGGAGATTAGTGGATATTCCAACAATTCAATTTAAGCATTCCTTTCCTTCTGCTTAGCTGGTGGGATGAGACCTTTGTTCCTGTGCAAGAAGCACATCCCATTTACTCTTCATGAACCAGTGAACCCTGTCATGTCAGTGTAATGAGCAATAAAAGCTCCTTCTGGTACACATCAGATTCTAATGCATGTGATGACTGAGTTGGGGGTTTTAAGGTTCTAACACACACTTGGATTCTGGGGTGCCTGTGTTTTATATACCTACCCCTATTGTAGAGTTCTGCCTGTCTACCATGGAATGGTTCATGAGTTGGGCAAGGGGCTGGAGACTGAAACATGCACACACAAAGGGGGGTGTCACCCTGGAAACAAGAATGCTAAGAAGGCCAAGTTTATTCTGTTCCCGGGCAGTTTATATAAGGCTCTCCTTGAGTAATGGCCTTGTTCTAGCTCTGGAGATTTTTTCAGCTGGAACCCCAAGATAAACCACTCCCCTGCCATCAGAAACTCATGAGGGTCTCGTGCTCGGAACAGCAGCAAGCATAGGAAAGGAAGTTGTCTACTCCAGCAGGCAAGGATTCACAGAGAACTCAGGGTCTGAGCGTCTGCAGCTCCCAATACCCCATATTACGGATGCATTAGGAACGATGCGAAAAACAATGCATCCATTTTGCTGTTGAGTCTGAAGACTAGAATTTTCAGTTGGGCAGGAGGGGCCGCTCACCCAAGCCTAAGGACACTTTGCTGATTAATGTAAGTGTGGGAATGAACATGGAAGTCTCTCTGTTCCTGTGTCCTAGGAAGTCACTGGCCTATGGTCATTGACCTTCTCAGATTAGTGGCTGATACTCTGAGCCCATTTTTAAAAACTCTTTGACAGTTTTATACATGTATGCACTGAGTTTTCTGTGGCTTGGTCTTCACCCACATAGGTTTTCATTTCAGCTAAGCCCAGTCCAGATACAAGACAGGAGCTCCCACGTGCTGGAGACTGATTCAAGCATCAAAGGCCTTTGGGGAAAACGACCAACATCCCAGGGCCTTGAGCTGTTTTAGCTCATGTTTGTGTCCTCAGAGTGTGACTTCCATTAAGGAGAAAAGCAGATTTATACAAAATAATAAGAAAGGTCATTTACCCCAGGACTTCGGGGAAAGTAAATTTCTAAGCACCCCCTGTGTTTGCGGATCAAAATTCCTGTTGTTTTCATGTAGAGAGATCTGTTTTCTCAGAAATAGAATATGAGTCTTCACACACCCAGAACACTGCCCCTGACACACACACACACACACACACACACACACACACATAAACACACATACCTGTGCATGCAGTCACTGGAGTCTCCTTACAGGGACATTAGAAAAATTTGCTTTTATCACTTCAGATAACCACGATGCTGTCTTAATTAAACTTTCTGTGCAGCTGCAGCTATTTTCTATGCAGTGAAATATTGAAGGACACTTAAAAGAAATCGCACAGTAGCTCAGAATTGAGAAATAGATGTTATTTATTTAGGGATAAACTCACAAATCAGAATCCTCTGCTTTAATGGACAACAGAAACTGAATCCAGCAACTGGAAAGAGAGCAGATGTATGTTCTACATCATATTATATAGTGTAAGAGGCCATGTCCCAATGGGCGCATAACCACTGGCTGTAAGATTTCCTACAGCACCTCTCCTTTTGTTTAAATAAGAGAGTTCTAAGCCTAATTCAAAATTATATACAATAAGAACAAATATAATCAATAATTATCCTATCCTAACGAGTATAATAAATAACTTGGCCAAGTCATGAGAGGACAGTAACTACAACTATCTAGTCTTCAACCCCACTGGAGATCCAAGAAGGGAAATAATATTACTTGAGTATGCAGGAAGTGCAATCAAGCAACTTCCAAAATGTGCAACAAATCACAGAGACAACTGGCTACCTGGGCAATCACCCAAAGTCTCATTTGCAATGTTGAAGCAACCAACTTTGGCTAAAGCCTAGAATAACTTATAGACCATTTTCAGAGGCAGGAAAATTTTCAAAACCATCTTACTCTGTAATGGCAAGATTTGACAGTCCTGCTTATCCATTTCTGGACATCATGTATCTTATCAGTGGTTGAGGCATGGGCATTTCTTTTCCCAAAGGCCAGTTTTTTTTTTCCAAGAAGAAAACAAGCTCCAAGTGGAGTATCTTCGGTGCTCAACATTCTCTCAAGAATAGATCGGGTGCTGCCAGGACCAATACTGTCTCACTGAAACAGAACCCTAAGTTATTTAAATGCAATATTCTACAGCTCTTTGAAGTGGTTGAAAATGACCTGTCTATGCAGAATATAATCTCTATGTATCTAAAGAAACTGATTAGTCTAACTTTAAGCAAGACAAACATAGATGACTATTGATCTATAACTCTTAATACCTATATAACTTAAAGACTTCATATTAGAATATTATACAAAAAACAAATGTGCAACAAATGAGGACAATGAACTCAAAACATAAACAATGTATAGGTATTTTGATCAGACGTAGAAATGTACATCATAATATGATAGATATATATTAGTATATAAAAATGTTTTAAGCAGAGGTAGAAGCATGCATATGATATTCAATATAATTTAGCCTTGTATCAATATGCAAGAATCTATACCAATGTAATTGCCTATAAATAATAACTCACAAGATTTCACTCTATTAATAACTATTATTATTAGTGTGAGTAAGCTCATACTAATCTATTATCCCACCAATTTTTCTTTTTCTTTTTTTAAATTTATTTCTTTATTAAAGATTTCTGTCTCTTCCCCGCCACCGCCTCCCATTTCCATACCCTCCCCAAATCAAGTCCCCCTCCCTCGTCAGCCCAAAGAGCAATCAGGGTTTCCTGCCCTGTGGGAAGTCCAAGGACCACCCACCTCCATCCAGGTCTGGTAAGGTGAGCATCCAAACTGCCTAGGCTCCCACAAAGTCAATACGTGCAGTGGGATCAAAAACCCATTGCCATTGTTCTTGAGTTCTCAGTAGTCCTCATTGTCCGCTATGTTCAGCGAGTCTGGTTTTATCCCAGGCTTTTTCAGACCCAGGCCAGCTGGTGTTGGTTAGTTCCCAATAGAACATTCCCATTGTCTCAGTATGTGGGTGCGCCCCTCTCGGTCCTGAGTTCCTTGCTCGTGCTCTCTCTCCTTCTGCTCCTGATTTGGACCTTGAGATTTCTGTCCGGTGCTCCAATGTGAGTCTCTCTCTCTGTCTCCTTTCATCGCCTGATGAAGGTTAATATTCAGGAGGATGCCTATATGTTTTTCTTTGGGTTCTCCTTCTTATTTAGCTTCTCTAGGATCACTAGTTATAGGCTCAATGTCCTTTATTTATGGCTAGAAACCAAATATGAGTGAGTACATCCCATGTTCCTCTTTTTGGGTCTGGCTTACCTCACTCAGGATAGTGTTTTCTATTTCCATCCATTTGCATGCAAAATTCAAGAAGTCCTTGTTTTTTACTGCTGAGTAGTACTCTAATATGTATATATTCCATACTTTCTTCATCCATTCTTCCATTGAAGGGCATCTAGGTTTTTTCCAGGTTCTGGCTATTACAAACAATGCTGCTATGAACATAGTTGAGCATATAATTTTGTTATGAACTTCATCTGTTGAGAATTCTCTGTTCAGCTCAGTGCCCCATTTTATAGTTGGGTTGATTAGCCTTTTATGGTCTAGTTTCTTGAGTTCTTTATATATTTTGGAGATCAGACCTTTGTCAGTTGCGGGGTTGGTGAAGATCTTCTCCCAATCAGTGGGTTGCCTTTTTGTCTTAGTGACAGTGTCCTTTGATTTACAGAAGCTTCTCAGTCTCAGGAGGTCCAATTTATTCAATGAGGCCCTTAATGTTTGTGCTGCTGGGGTTATACGTAGGAAGTGGTTTCCTGTGCCCATGTGTTGTAGAATACTTCCCACTTTCTCTTCTATCAGGTTCAGTGTGTTCAGACTGATATTGAGGTCTTTAATCCATTTGGACTTGAGTTTTGTGCATGGTGATAGATATGGATCTATTTTCATTCTTCTACAGATTGACATCCAGTTTTGCCAGAACAATTTGTTGAAGATGCTCTCTTTTTTTACATTGTATACTTTTAGCTCCTTTATCGAAAATCAGGTGTTCATAGGTTTGTGGGTTAAAGTCAGGGTCTTCTATTCGATTCCGTTGGTCGACTTCTATGTTTTTATGGCAATACCAAGCTGTTTTCAATACTGTAGCTCTGTAATAGAGTTTGAAGTCAGGGATGGTAATGCCTCCAGAAGTTCCTTTATTGTATAAGATTGTTTTGGCTATCCTGGGTTTTTTGTTTTTCCATATAAAGTTGATTATTGTCTTCTTTAGATCTGTGAAGAATTTTGATGGGATTTTGATGGGGATTGCATTGAATCTATATATTGCCTTTGGTAGAATTGCCATTTTACTATGTTGATCCTCCCAATCCAAGAGCAAGGGAGATCCTTCCATTTTCTGGTGTCCTCTTCACTTTCTTTCTTCAAAGACTTAAAGTTCTTGTCAAATAGATCTTTCACTTCCTTGGTCAGAGTTACCCCAAGATATTCTATGCTGTTTTGTGGCTATTGTGAAAGGTGATGCTTCTCTGATTTCCCTCTCTGTTTACTTATCCTTAGTGTATAGGAAGGCAACTGATTTTTTTGGAGTTGATCTTATATCCTATCACATTACTAAATGTGTTTATCAGCTGTAGGAGTTCTTTGGTAGAGTTTTTGGGGTCGCTTATGTATACTATCATATCATCTGCAAATAACGAAAGCTTAACTTCTTCCTTTCCAATACGAATCCCCTTAATCCCCTTATGTTGTCTTATTGCTATTGCTAGAACTTCAAGCACTATATTGAAGAGGTATGGAGAGAGTGGACATCCTTGTCGTGTTCCTGATTTTAGTGGGATGGCGTTGAGTTTTTCTCCATTTAGTTTAATGTTAGCTGTCAGCTTGCTGTAAATAGCTTTTATTATATTTAGGTATGACCCTTGTATCCCTAACCTCTCCAAGACCTTTATCATAAAGGGGTGTTGAATTTTGTTGAGTGCGTTTTCAGCATCTAATGAAATGAACATATGTTTTTTTTCTTTCAGTTTATTTATATGGTGGATTACATTGATAGATTTGCATATG